ATTTCTCGAACATAATCTGAATAATTAACCTTAAAATAACCGTATCAATATGTTCACAAGCTGAAGGAGGGATTACCTCTCCGATCGGTCGACGGAATACGGAACTAGGGCGTGCTTATTAGCTCTTGCGGTTGCCGAGCGCTATAGCTTCCTTTGCTTGCGTGATTGCTGGAAAATTTGGAAAAATTACCTCACTTTATGGTTGCTGAAAGAGGCTAATGTAGGCTGAGGAAGTTCTTATACGGTGGCTCAATTCTTAGGGGAAAAACGTGAGGAAAAATCAATTCAAGTATCCTATTTATACAAAGCCGTGAGAGGGAGAAGGTGACGGATGAGTGTCGTGGCCACCAAGAACAATGGACACTTGCTTTACTATGATTAATTCGGGGATGATTCATCTCCCTACTTTTCTTCTTCTTAAAGCACGTGTATAGATAGGTGGAAAGAAAATGAATTTGTTTCCTTAAGAGTGAAGAACTTGAGGGCTATTGGAACTATTTTCCTTAATCAATCTCACGGCATTTGGTTTAAATTGATGGAAAAACATTGCCTAAGTCATAGCAATTAAGATATTAAGCCACGGCAATTTTGGAAAATTTGGGAAAACTTTCCCTAATGCCATGGCTAATGATCTAATTTGGGTGATTAATTATGATTAATCACTCAATTTATGTTTAATTATTTAATTAAACATAATGCTTAATTACCAAAATTATTTCGGACGTAAACGGTACGTCGAAAATAGATTTCGGTAATCTCGATTGAACTTAATTAATTCCGAAAATAATAAACGATAACATTATTATATCGGAATTAAAACGTAATTTATTCCGATAAAATATCGGGATATTACAACTACAAAGTCGACTCGAACAACTACAAAGTTGTATGCCCCGAGCGAAATCTCGGCAAGGCTACGAAGCCTACGACTACAAAGTCGACTCAAACAACTACAAAGTTGTATGTCTCGAGTTGAATCTCGTCAAGGCTATGAAGCCTACGGCTATAAAGTCATTTTAACTACAAAGTGTCAACAAATGAAGTGTCGATAAATTTACGACTACGAAGTTATAACAAGTGAAGTATCGATGAATTCATGATTAAAACCAATTTAAATTACGAAGTTGCGAGTACATGACAATTCAAGCAAAAGAAAACGAAAGACAATATTCAAGATAGGTTCATTACAAGAATCATCTCGACCTTTACAATCTGAGAACTAAGTCGAGACAAGAACAAACAGTAAAAACAAACGACAGAAAAGAAAATTACAAAGAATACAAGACAGGCCTAGAGATACGATTCTAAGAGTCACTATCCTCGTCAATAGTGGTTGCCACCTGACCTTCCTCACGACTAGGCCCGACCGTCTAGATCGGAGAAATGGAAGGAGCCTCGAGCCGGGAAGAAAGCTTGGCAGCTTTAATGGCTTTAGCCTCCAGGCCAATCCACCATTGGTAATCGCCGGGAGGGAGGGGTCACCCTCATAACCTTCAGGGTCAGGAAGCGCCATCCTCATCGCTTCGCGGTCGAGCCTTCCCGCAAATTCAGACCCCGCCACCACCACCTCCCAGGCGTCAAAAGTATGATCGAAATATTGAACGGCGGCGGGACAAAGTTTGTCGAGAAACTCGGGCGAATTGCAGAAGGCCTTGACAACCTCCTTGCGATAAGTCTCGAGGAAGAGAACACCCATGGGTGACTTGAGAAACGATTTGCGGCCCTGCACGGTGCCGATATCCCTCTCGAACACCACCTTCTCTCGAGCCTTTTCGAGATCGGCCCGGAGTTTCTCGTTGTCGTGATGGGCCACAGCCTTTCAGCCCTTAACTTATCAACCAAGTGTTGGTGTTATATACTTAAGCTGTGCTTTAGTGGATATTACACTTGTTGTTCCTTGATGAATGAGAATTATGTTTGGTTAAATAAGTTCCACGTTCTGTTGTTTTGCATGTAGATA